AAGGCCTGGCGTTCTGGTGACAGCCCAGCTCATACCTCTTCTACCAAATCCCCCAGGCTGGTGAGTGAGGTAGAGGAGCTGAACATGTCCCTCTCAGCACTGAGGGAGAAGCTTCTAGAAGCAGAGCAGTCGTTGCGCAACCTGGAGGACACACGCCTGAGCCTGGAGAAGGAAATTGCTGTTAAAACCAACAGTCTCTTTATTGACCGCCAGAAGTGCATGGCCCACCGCGCCCGCTACCCCGCCATCCTCCAGCTGGCTGGCTACCAGTGACCAGGATGGCACCGTGGTAGAGCAGCCCTTGTCCTTGGCCAGACTTGGGCAGGGACCTGTCCCCCACCCCTCAATAAAGAGCATGTTTGCTTTCTACTCGTAGCACGGGGCTCAGAGTGGAGCCTTTGAACAGTCAGTTCCTCATGCCCAGGGTGCCCCCAGTTACCAGCCGTGGAGAGGGGTCGGCCAAGGATGGGAGAGGCCCCACCTCATCCCACAAGCTGACCCTGGGAGGCCAGGCCCCTCGCCAGCTCCCAGCCACAGCTGAGGCACAGACGGCTTCTCTGCCCTCCTGGGATGCTTCAGAGTAAGGGTCACCTCTCATCCCACGGAAGCCATACCACCCATCACAGCCTCTGGTCACCGCAACAATAACTTGCTCTTTTTCTTCCACGGGCCCCGGATGCTGTCATGGTGAGGCCAACTGGCTTCCCTCGTATGGGAGGTGAACCTGGGGCAGAGGTGTCAGCACACACTGTTAGTCTGGGTCTCCCCTGAGGGGCCTGGCCCTGGGGGCTTTGGGCGTCCATGAAGCGCCTCCACACCCCTGGAGGGTGCCAGGCCAGGCCAGTGACCGGGAAAACCCATAGGACTTCCCCTGCCACCCCCACCTGGCACAGGGCAGGCACCTGGAGAGCCGGACCCTGAACTGGGGGGTGGGGAAATTGAGGTTGTGGGGGGCCTCCGTGCCCAGACACCTTGGTCACCCTTGGGTGACTAGTCTCCTTGTCCAGCTAGTGAGTAGGTGGGTGTGTGGGTGCGAGGAGACCGCAGCGCTCCTGCTGCCCGCCTGGCCGCACGCCATCCTGCACACTGTCCACTGCTCTGGGCAGCACTGCAGTCCCCAGGAAGGGCCAGGTACCGTGTGGAGGGGCGGGTGGCAGGGAGGCTGCCCTTGTGCACCCACATTGACCCCTACCGCCTGGCTGCTCATAGACAGGACTGTCAAGGACACTTCCATTAAGAGGCGGGAGATCATTCCCACTGTGCAAACTCCTGCCACTCGGACCACGCTCTGGAGCGGAAGCATGGCTCCAGGCCGCACTTCGAATTCCCTGAGGTTCTCCGTGGGGCTGGAGGTGGGGATAGACAGCTATGTCCACCCCAGGCTGTCCAGTTGCCTCCAGCAGGGATTCAGCCCTTGCAAACCCTCTGTGGACAACTGACCTCGTGGGGCCACAATACTTAGCCACCCTTCTGTTGTCACGGAGATGCTGGGCAGCGTGTGCAGGCGATGGCTATTTCTGTCCAGGAGCCTGGTCGTCCTGCACCCGCTGAGTCACCCTTGGTGCCTGCTGACTACCTCTGCTTGGAGCCTGCCTGTCTGCCTGCAGCGGCAGACACCCCCCAACAGGTCCCGCCCCCCACATGCAGGGCACATTTAACTCACTGTCCCCTCCCCCAAGGGGACTCAGAGTGAACGCCCATCACTTATTGGAGGGCTGCTCTGCCTGGGGAGCTGGCAGCAGGAGGCACGAGAAGGGACTGCAGCTCTGCAGCGTGGTAAAGCCGCTGGCATCCCTGACTGGCTGTGCCCCACCCACGTCCATCTAGCACAGGGTCCATCTCGCCACTTCTGAGCCCACTGGTGCCCATTTACAGGTGGGAAACCAAGGCTCAGATGCAGGAAGCAGCAGAGCTCTGGCATCTGCCTTTCTCTGGGAGCCTCGGAGGCAATAGTTGGTGAGCAGAGAAGAGCCCCCTGCTGCCCTGGGCCCATCGACTCCAGAGGGACACGGGGATGAGAGGCAGGGGCCGGGGCCGCTCATGGCCCTGAGTGCCGCCTGCTTGGCTCCTTCGATCAGAGCCAAGCCGCAAGGCACTGGGGCTGCAGGAGCCGCGGGGCAGTGGGTCATCGCCCAGGGCCTCGGCTCTTCACACCCTCTCTGTGCTACCCTCCAGGTGAAGACAGCTGTCCCCAGAGGGAGTAGCGGGGCCTGCTGCAGTGAGCTGTCATCTCCTTGGGGTGGGACCAGTCTTCCAGCCAGCTCCAGCTGGTGCGGTCCCTGCCCACAGCCCTCACCAGCCACATTCACCCTTATCCTGGCACAAGAAGTCCCCACAGATGGGGCCACCTCAGCCTCCTGCTCTCCTCTCCTCCTTGCCCCGCCCTGGCCATCAGCGAGGAGGGCTGGGATGGGCAAGCTGGGGACTGAGTTGGACCTGTGGCTGTGCCTGGAACAGCAGAAATTGGTGAGCCAGCCTGGGCTGCCCACAGCTGGCCTGTTTCCCAGGCCACGGCTGGTGCCTCCCCCACAGGTGGCCTCGCTTGGTGTGTGGGGGCTGCACTTCCTAGGACTTGAGTATCCCCATGTCCAGAGACCAAGGCACAGGGTTCTGTCCCTGAGCTCTGCTCAGCCGTCCAGACCCAAAGCAGGCACGAGGCCAGGCCCTGGTATGGGCTCAGCTTTAGGTTCACGGGGGCGCAGCCCCTGCCTGTCACAGCCTGGGAGGCTGCGAGTCATTCCCACCAGCGGGCATCACAGGGACACAACCCTTATCCACTGAAAGGCTAGAGAGGTGCCCACTGCCCCTGTCGCTCTGCTGGCACCTTGACCTGGAACGGCACCGGGGAGGCTCGGGCAGACACCACGGGCCTGGCCAGACGCTGCTCTCCTGGGCTCCATCCACCAGCTCCAGCCCTCACTTCCCAGCCAAGACAGAAGGTTGTCACCATTACCAGATGGGCCCTGGTCTGCCCCACCCCACCTTGGCCCCCAGCCCTCTGTCCAGTCTCCTCCCAGCTGCAGCTCTGGCCTCCCCAACTCTCCCCTAGGTCACAGCACCCAGATGGAGGAGGCAGCCAGCCCACAGCACCGTCCCCCAACCTGCCAGTCCTAGAGGCCCCAGGCCCCCAGACCCACACCAGGGCCCGGGGAGGGCGGCAGGACCCGGAGCCCCTGTGTCGAGGCTACACAGACCCTTGCAGGTAGCCAGCCGGTGGAGGGCAGAGCAGTGGCAGGCGGCAGGGCCCCGCGACCCCCCTGCAGAGCGCTCTGAAGCTGGCCCCTCGCCTGTTGGTCTTGGATGGCCCAGGGGAAGCTGTGGGCGCCTGGGCGGGCATGAAAGGGCCCTTTCACAGGCTGCTGGGGCAGTGAGCTGGAGACAGCCAGACAGGCAGCAGCACCCGACTGTGACATGGTAACAGAGAGCGTGGGGTGGGTGGGGGTATTCACAGACACCCTGAACGGGCTGGGCTTCCAGGGGTCTTTGCTCCCCGCTAGATCCCAGCAGGAAGGAGGCTCCAGCGCAGCTGTCCTCTGGGCAGGCCAGGCGGCTAGGATGCCCAGGGCTCTGACGGCCAGAGAGACGAGGCGGGGGCTCCAGCGGCGCGGGCCTGCCTCTGGGTTGGGATCCCTGGAGACACCCACTCCTGTCAGATTCCTCCGTGGAAGAATCCAGGAGCGTCATGCAGGGTCCAGTGAGGCTGGGAGGACTGGTCAGGGTCTCCTGGGCTCCAGGGGGAGGGGGGAAGCGGGTGGAAAGAAGGGGTCCTATCTACCAGGGAAGCTAGGCCTAAAAGTGGGCCTCAGACCCACGCTGCAAGAGGGACCGCATGCCAGATTGCAGTTCAGAGGGCTCCCTGGAGGAAGTGCCTGGGTCTTTGCTCAGTAGGTCGGGCTACAGGGGAGTGAGGGTCCTTTCCGCACATGCCTGCCTTCCCGGAGCCTCCCAGAGGTAGCCCCTGGGGAGATCAGGACAGGCAGGGCCCACTTGATGGGGGAACTGAGGCCCAGGTGCAGGGGGCTCACCCAGGGGCCCCAGCAGCTGCTGGTTGAACTGGGAAGTGGTGCTCCACCTGGCACGGATAGGCCTGGCGTCAGTCAGGATGCCCTGGGGGAGGGTGTGATGAGGCAGGAGGCCCAGGACCGGCAGGTGTTGGAGACCATCTTCTCCACTGCTGGTTGGGTAGCCTCCCGAGTAGCCCTCCCTCTCTCCCCTGGAACTTAGGACAGGGTGCTGCTCTCTGCCCAGCCAGGCTGCGGGCGGAAACTGCCTGGCATAGGCCCCACCAAACGGGAACCCCGGCCCAGCCTCAAGGGTGGGGGCACGGCCCTTGCGTGAAGCTTCCCTTCCCCAAGGGCTCTGCCCACGCAGGACGGGGGCGCTGTGGAAGGCCGATTCCGAGCCCCACCACCACGTGCAGTTCCCGCTGCATCTGCCCTGTGCAGGGTCCCCAGCCATGGGGGCTTTGGGGACCAGGACTCCCTGAGTCCAGGCAGTTAGGGTGCCCGCCACAGCCCAGAGTTAAGGCCCTGGGTGGTGTGGAAGTCCACAGGGGAGCAGCCCCTGAGAAGGAGCCTGAAAACCAGCTCAGACTGAGGGGATTGCCTGGGCCACTTTGCTGGGGCTCTGGAAGGGCAGGTGTGAGTTGTCCCCTGTGCAGGCTCTCAGATTGGTGGTGGCCCTGGTGGTGCTGTGTTGAGGAGGATTCTGAGGCCACATCCAGGCCTGGGTGAAAGAGTGTGGGGATCCATTAGTGATGTCTGTCACGGTGGGGCTTAGAATCTGAGAAGAGCATGCCAGGTCTGTCTGGTGCAGGATGGGGCTCTGGCCCTGCCCACTGTGGCACCTCGAGGACCCCCAACTGTGTACCCTAGACAGGTGCCATCTGCTGGTTCCCCAGACAAGGGGGCAACAGCCAACTGCTGTGGGGTCTGGGGGCTCAGTGGGGCATCTCCTTCTCAGACCCCTCCCTCCCTCCCCTCTCCTAGGCTCTGGCCCAGATGGCAACCCCTGCCCTCCTGCTCCTCCTGCTCCTCCTCGTGCTGCCCGCAGGGGCCTGGCCCAGCCTGGGGCTGCCCCAGCAGCCGTGTGTGCGCTGCTGCCGCCCGGCCTGGTCCCCAACGGCCCCTGGCTCATACCCCCCTGAGAGTGAAGGGGAGATGTGGGGACAGCTGCCCTACGTGCGGCCCATCATTGACATCTCAATCCTCAAAGGTGAGTGTCACGGTGAGGTGGCCCCACCCTGGCCCCTGCCCCCACAGGGACACCCACACCGAGAGGCTAGGAAAGAAGGGGCAGGAGAGCAGACCAAGCTCCGAGGCCTGACTCAGCAGAGTGGTTCTGGGAAGGCCCCGGGGCCCCGGGGACACAATGAGCAGTGGCTCTTTGCTTCCGAAATCCTTGCAAAGGCTGTCAGCCGCCAGCCTCCCGCTCAAGCAAGAAGCAAGGTGGCCTGGAGAGGGGGCTGTGAACAGAGGGGCACCTGAGGGTCCCTTCAATTTGCTCATCCACCCTGCATTGGCCCCCCCAGGCCCAGCACCCATGGGGGGGGAGGACTAGGTCTCCCTTGGGAGAAGGCATTGCTCATCCACCCTGCATTGGCCCCCCAGGCCCAGCACCCATGGGGGGGAGGAGGACTAGGTCTCCCTTGGGAGAAGGCATGAGAGGTTGAGCTCAGGAGGGCATCACCCTGGGGCTGGACAGCAAGCCACAAGAAAGTTGGGCTTGGGTACCAACCCTCCAGTCCAATTCAGACCCTTCCCTTGGCAGCTGCCTGGACCTCCGTCATTCCCACTGTCCCACCGTAGTTCCCACTGTCCCACCTCCCCACTTGATAATCTGTACAGGCCCCAGAATAGCCACAAGTTTGGGGTGTGGCTTCTCATTGCCCTGGGTGAGGGGTGGGTTAGCACCCATCTTATAGATGAACAGACTGAGGTTCAGGAAAGTCATTCACAAGACCACGTGGCCAGCAAATGGATCCCAAGCTTTGACCAGAGGCTTTTGCTCTCTCCCCTGCAGGTGAGAAGGGTGAGATAGGGGTCAGAGGTCACCCTGGAAGCCGCGGAAAGGAGGGCCCACCAGGCTCCCTGGGCCTCCGGGGCCAGAAGGGCCAGAAGGGGCAGGTGGGGCCGCCGGGCACCCCGTGCCAGCGTGCCTACGCGGCCTTCTCAGTGGGCCGGCGTGCAGGGCTGCACAGCACAGGTGCTTTCCAGGTTGTCACCTTTGACACGGAGCTGGTGAACCTGGATGGCGCCTTCAGCCTGGTGTCCGGCCACTTCCTCTGCGCTGTGCCTGGTGTGTACTTCCTGAGCCTCACCGTGCACACCTGGAATTACAAGGAGACCTACCTGCACATCATGCGCAACCAGCAGGCCGCCGCTGTGCTGTACGCGCAGCCCAGCGAGCGCAGCGTCATGCAGACCCAGAGCCTGCTGCTGCCGCTCGCCGCGAGGGATGCCGTCTGGGTGCGCATGTTCCAGCGCGACCGAGACAACGCCATCTACGGTGAGCATGGGGACCTCTACATCACCTTCAGCGGTCACCTGGTCAAGCCTGCCACCGAGCTCTAGCTGCCTCAGAGAGGTCCACATGCCACCACCAGCCTTGGGTGGCACTCACTCCCCAGACACCAGAGCCTGCACTCGCCCTCACAGATGCCAGTGGCCTTTGAGCGATGACTGTAGTGACTGAACAACTGCAGACCCTGAGCTGAGGGGTGTGGCAGGAGCAAGACACTCGGGGGCCTGGCGTGGTTGGGATGGGTACAGATCAAGTGTTCACACTAAAAAATTCGGGATGGAGACCGTGGGCGTGGCTTGCGGCAGGTGGGTGGGGCATCTCTACACGCTATGGAGTTTGCCTTCTGGTCACGCGATAGTTTGCTTATAAAGGGCTGTGCCAGCACCACTGCCTTGGAGACATTTGCAAAGTACCTACTGGGTGCCGGGCTGGACGCTGGGGAGTCCAGGGGTCAAATGCGGACGTTAGCCCCTCGGAGCTGATTCTAGCAGGAAACGTGCTAAATTTCATGGTGTTAGAGGGCAGCAAATGGGGGGGGGGAGCAAGAGTCATGCCCCCATGTGAACACGCAGTCCAGCTCTGGTGGGCTGATTTTCGGGGGCTCCCAGCATCCGTTCGTTTGTCTGGAATGAGCTGATGATGGAGGAAGACCATACCTCGGTGTGTCCCAGAGCCTGTGGGGGCCGGGGAAGCCCCACACCTCACACGCAGAGGTGGCTGAGGCTGGGCCCTGGCGGTGTACAGGTCACACCCCACTCCCACAGGCAAGGGTGTAGGTGGAGCACGGCTATGCTCACTCCACAGGGGCCCCCATCTGCCCGGCAGTTTGGAGCCATCAGGCTGCCCCACCCTAAAGTCCCCTCTGAGTGTTTCTTTCCTGCCACATGTCCCCTGGCCACTCCGAACCTTCTGCTCAGCCCCTCTGACCCTTTCACTGCGGCCTCCTCTGCGGGGCCTCTCCTGGCCTCTCCTCCTGTGGCTGCTCCCTCCTGAGCAAGGATTCTGGGACAGTGAGGCCTTCGGGGCTCTGGCAGCGTCTGGAATCACCAGCGCCTGGTGAGCTGGCTGAGGTCCTGAGCTATGGGGAGGTGGCTGGAGTTGCAGGCTGGCAGGCCGAACAGGAGGTGCCGGAGCCCTCACAGAAGGAGGATCCAGAGACCACCAGCTGGGGTGCAGGAGGTGGAAGGGGGTGGCTGCTGGGAGCTCCAGGTCCCTCTCTCTCAAGGATGCACCGGGCCTGGGGCCTTGGATGCTGGGCAGGCACAGGACTCCCGCAGTCCTCGTCCACCTTTGGGGCCCAGGGCCCACAGAGGGCTGAACCTAGCTGGTCCTTCACCCTTCCCACCAGGACCCAGCTCATCATGAGATGAGCCCCATATCTATCTGGCCCTGGAGCTGGGGACCCTTTGCAAGACAATGATCCTCTGATGGGGAGGGGGAGGCAAGAAGAGGGTGGAGCTCGCTCATCCATTTTACAAACAGTCACCTCCTGTCCCTGCTCTTGGGGAGGGGACAGAGCGGAAACACAGTGGCCCTCCCCTGCCACCACAGAGCTCACAGGAACATCAACCCTTGAGCTGAGGTTGATCCAGGATCCTCCCCACCCACTGGTGGGCAGAGAGCCGAGGGAGGGAACATGGTCACAAAGGACAGGTGGAGAAATGGAGGCTGGCAGGGGTCTGCAGACCGCCAAGTGTGTGGTGCTGGGAGCTGGCACTCCACAAGCTGAACTATCCCCCCTTACTGCGTCCTGGACAGAGGATGAGTGGGAGGAGGGGCCCCCTTTGCTGGCCATGCAAGGCCTGTCTAAAAGTGGAGGGCTCTCTGCCAGCTGCCTTCCTGAAGCAGGGTCTGCAGCCTCCTGAGCATTGGGTGCAGCTCAGCACACCACAGCCTGCCCCGCAGGTGGGCACTTGTGCAGACTCATGACCTGGCCCCTGAGGGCTGGGAGGGCCTGACCCAGGGGCTCCCATCGCAGGTCATCACTGGGTGAGGAGGGTAGGGGCTCCTGGGGTCCCAGGTATGAAACCCTCATGCCCCACATTCAGGCCCCACAGCTCCACAGGAAGCAGACCTGGGTGGGGCTATGTCTCCAAACCTCCAGTGCCAACCAGATCGCACGCTGGGTCCTGGGTTCAAACAAAACAGGAGCCTGCCTTGAAAAAGCCACAGATAAGGAGGTCAGGACAGACCAGTGTCTGTGCCGAGACCCAGCACCTCAGGGGGTTCAAAGGGGACCCCTGACCTGGGAACCCCAAGGCTGGACCAGGTTCCACCATAGTACATGGCAGGCAAATGCAAAACCGGGGGTGGAGGGGCTTCTTTAGCCAAGGACGAGGGGCAGAACAGCATGGGCTTCTGAAGCCATGGTCCTGCTAGAGACAGGAAGGGCTGAGTTGGACCGAGCTTCAGGCTGAACTTTGGCCCTTTGGCCTGGGTCCTTTTATGGCTGGAACAGCCTAAACGCCCAGGGTGCTTGGCAACCTGTGGGCGGCGCATCAGGAGCGAGGGCTGATGGGGGACAGGGTGGCAGAGAAGGTTCTTCTGTAGAGATAAAGGAGCATGAACAGGAGTGGGGTAGTCTGCAGGGGATTGGAAGGACCTCGGCCTCCCTCAGTCCTCCTAGACCCTGGACTCCCTCCCGCCCTGACCAGGAACCCCAGACCCCCTGTGTGTTGTGGGCCAGCCTGGCCAGGAGGGGCCAGGAGGGAAGTCCTGGTCTGCCAGCTCCAAACAAGGCCCTGCTCTTTCCAGCCAGCCTGCTGCCGAGGGCTCTGCGGCGGGGTCCAGAGTGCAGGGCTGGGAGGGGCTGCTGCCCTGGGCAGGGGAAGTCCGCAGGCCTGGCAGCCACTCTACCTCCTTCCAACCTTGTGGCGTGAATCCAGCTGTTAGAGCAGCCTGGACAGGTAGGCACTGGGGCGTCGGGGCCAAACTTCGAGGGACAGGCCCTGCTCCCAGCTGCTGACTCAGGAGGGCAGAGTGGGTCAGGGCAAGAAGGGTACCTGACAACCTCCAAGTGCCAAAGCCACCAGGTCCTCAGAGAATCAGGGCCAGCATGGAGACAGGCCCTGAGCGCAGCCAAGACCCCACTGTGAGCCTCAGTACATGCCAGGAAACGTCCCAGAGGACACTGCTCGGGACTCCAGGACGAGAAGGCAGTGCGGGCTCCACCCACACACCCTCCAGGTGTATTTACTAAAAACTGACAAACAACAAGGAAATAAAAGACTGAGAACTGGGGGTGGGGGGCAAGACGAGACAAAATTACCATCTCTGCAAAGTGATAAAGGCACCCTTGGCAAGAGGGCAGACACAGAAATCGATGAGGCCTGCTGTTGCCCTGATCACTTAGAAGATAGAGGAATTGACCCCAATCAGCATAGCAAGTGGAAGTCCCGTGCACGACTCCGCTGCCGTCTGGACGTGCATGCGCCATGAGAAGACAGCTGGGAAAACACTTGAATTCAGGGACAGCCTTGCAACCTTCTTCTCTACTGCCTGGGAGCCAATTTATTTGTATGAGGTTTATTCATTTAGTGGAAGTCCAATAAAACATCATTTTTAAAATTTAGGTGAAATTCTTATAACATGAATTTTACTATTTTCAAGAACAATTTAATGACATTTTGCACTTTCACAATGTGGTACGACTACCTCTATCTATGTCTGGAATATTCTATTTTCCTTTTCTTTTTCTTTCTTTTTTTTTTAACTCCTCTTTATTTTTAAATGTGTTACAGATGTTCCCCCACTTATTTCCCCATTGACCCCCTCCTCCCCAATCCCACCGTCTCCTGCCTTCCCCACACTATTGTCGGTGTCCATTGGTTATTATATGCATAGAAGTTGTTTGGTTTATCTCATCTCGCCCTCCCTCCCCCCTTCCCTTTGAGGTTCATCAGTCTAACAACCAATTTGTACTTCTTAATTCCTTCATCTTTTTCACCCAGCCCCCAGCCCCCATCCATCTGGCAAGCAACAAAAAGTTCTCTGTATCTATGAGTCTGTTTCTGTTCTGCTTGCTCATTTTGTTTGTAGATTTAATTGTTGATAGATATGTATTAATTGCCATTTTATTGTTCATATTTTTGTTCTCCTTCAAGAAGACCCTTCAACATTTCATATAATAACGGTTTGGTGATGATGAACTCCTTTAGCTTTTTCTTGTCTGGGAAACTCTTGATATGTCCATCGATTCTAAATGATAGCTTTGTAGAATAGAGTAATCTTAGTTGTAGGTCATTGCTTTTCATCACCTTGAATAAATATCTCTTGCCACTCCCTTCAGGCCTGCAAAGTTTCTTTTGAGAAATCAGCTGACAGTCTTATGGGAGCTCCTTTGTAGATAATGAATTGCTTTTCTCTTGCTGTTTTTAAGATTCTCTCTTTGTATTTAATCTTTGGCATTTTGATGATGATGTGTCTTGGTGTAGACCTCCTTGGGTTCATCTTATTTGGGACTCTCTGTGCTTCCTGGACTTGTACGTCTGTTTCCTTCATCAAGTTAGGGAAGTTTTCTGTCATTATTGTTTCAAATAGGTTTTCAATTTCTTGTTCTCTCTCTTCTCTTTCTGGCACCCCTAGGATGTGAAGTGGTCCCAGAGGCTCCTTACACTATCCTCATTTTTGGGGGATTCTTTTTTCTGTTTTGATTGGGAGTTTTTTGCTTCCTTATATTCCAAATCAATGGGGTGTGTCTTGGCTTTACCTACCCTACTATTGATTCCCTGTAAATTATTCTTTATTTCAGTTAGTGCATCCTTCATTTCTGACTGGTCCTGTTTGATGTTGTTGATGTTCTCACTAAGTTCCTTGAAGGTCTCACCAAGTTCCATGAGCAACCTTATAACCTGTGTTTTGAACTCTGCATCTGATTGATCGCTTATCTCCATTTTATTTAATTCTTTTCCTGGAGTTTTGTTTTTTCTTTCATTTGGGACATATTTCTTTGTGCCCTCATTTTGGCTGTTTCTATGTATTAGGTAGAGTTGCTATGTCTCCCATGCTTCCTAGGATGGCCTGTTGTAGTAGGTGTCCTGTAGGTTACCCG